CGAATTCCCAGTTGTTGTGAACACAACATTAGTTTCAGCAGAGGGAGGGAGAGAGCAGCAGAGGGTCCACCTCTCATGGTCCCTGCTCTCTCCTTACTTTACTGACCAGAGAGGGGACACCGTTGTCCACCTGATGGCAAAACACGAGTCGCATCTGCATCTGCCTCTGCCTCATGCACATATTCATGTCGTTCCTATGACCAGAGAAAGTGAAATATTCCTCGATATTAAAATAGACACGAGCTGCTAATAATAATAAAAATGCAGGGCTATCGATACACTTGGCTACTCATTCATTGCAGCTGCAGCGCGAGTGGAAGTAGGGAATTTAAACAGTGTTGACAGTGCTGAATAAAAAGTTAAACATGAACTCACTCATAAAAATAGCAGTTCTTTGCTGTATTCTTTGACAGTCTCTCTGGTCATGGTTTTAAAAGTTCTGAAATCTCACGTAGGCTAGTCTCAAATGAGGTTGTGGAAGCTGTAGACACTGATTGGCCAGCTCATAGGCACACTCGATTTAGCCACAGATATCTTTTCAGACATATGAAATGGTCCAAAATGGGCATCTGAATGAAGTGCACCTACCGTCAACAACGCAACATGAATAAAAAAAAAAAAGGAGCGCAGGGAGCCGCAGGGATCGACTAGGAATGAGATCAGAAAGCTGATCCGAGAGCAGCGCTAACTTTCTTTCGATCCTATCAGTATCGACTGTAGGCCTATGCCTCAACAACGCATTTAGTGAATGTTCTCTCTGCGTGGTGTTTTGGGAAACGCATGTTACATCTTTGGGCCGTTGTTGGAACAATGCATCATTAAAACTCTCATACGCCTAAATTCCATCGCTATCGGGAAACCGGGCCCAGGTCATGTGGTTCAGATATTAGATGAAGAACAATGATACCACATTAATCTATTTGATAAATAATCAAAAAATCTGGCATTGTTTTTCCATTGGAATTAGGTTGTGCTTTTAGATGGTTGAAAGCATAGTGATAACACATTGGAAATTCAACAAACGTTTGGCTGTTTTTTTGAGTGAGTGAATATAGGTTGTAAACTCATTGATCAACGTCTCAACCAAATATTACCCAATTATCCACGTTGAAACGACGTAGTGTGCCCAGTGGGGTGAGATGGAGAGATGTAAGAGATAGAAAGAGAGATAGGTGAGAGAGAGAGAGAAGCATTTTGGTGTTATCTCTTTGTGTTGTGTTTGTCCATGTCTATTATTCTCCCTGCAGCCTGTTTTGTTCACATTGCCTAATTCAGCATCCCTGCCTCAAAGACCCCGGCCCTGGCCCTCTGTCCCTCTAATCCCCCAATCTGCATTCTGATTGGTCCATCCACATGGCCACAGCGGCCTTTAAGGTCGCTTGTGTTTTTCCACTGCCCATGACCCCGACAATGGCCTCCCTAGCAACCCCTTCCATGGAACCCCAAAGTAAGCGTAAACTCAGACTACGCCACCACCACTGGTTTATTTTTGACAGTACAACACTAGCTTCCATGACTACCAACCTGTCATGTGACCACAGTTTCGACAGTAGAACACTAGCTACCATGACTTCCAACCTGGCATGTCATCATGTTGCTACCGTGTCAACAGTATAACACTAACTACCATGACTACTTAGCTATGATGTCACTAACATGTCGACAGTAGAACACTACCCACTGGGCACACACTGGTTGAATCAACGTTGTTTCAACATAATTTCTCAACGTATTTTGATGTGGAATCAATGTGGAAAATACATTGGATTTGAAAAAAATCATCAACCAGTACTATTTTCATCTCATTTTGACCAGCATTGATTCAACCAGTGTGTGCCCAGTGGGTAGCTACCATGACTACCATATCGACAGTAGAACACATACAGTCATCTCTTCTCCATTTTCAGAATGTGAAGTAAGAGATATCTACATCAACAGGAGGACATTGGTGACATCATGATCGTGTAGTTTCCCCAAAACGGAGAACATATAAAACTCATCCTTGTGAATGAAAAATGTGAAACCCACAAAATCTGTTTGTCTGAGGTATCTCTGGTTTTTCTGTCCCCCCTCCCCCCCCACCTCTAAACAAACTGGCAAAGAACAGAACAGACAAACTGTTGAGTTTCGCCCTGTCTGATGTTATAACCAGTGATGTTGTGGTAAAACAAAATAGGTGGGTAAACGCTGATCGCCGTTCTCAGTTGAGTAAAGTAACGCTCTGTACACTTTCTATGAATTTTCCGCAAAAGGTGAGTAAACGCTCGCACAAAATAAAAAAAGGTGCATAAACGGCGTTTACATGCGATTACACTCCACTACACTACTGGTTATAACTCAGCAACGTCACGTTGTCCTCTTCTGATAAGTCTCTTGTGTGTCTGTCGAGCCTCCAGCCAGATGACCTGTTCTCCAGAAGAGGGGGAAGAGAGAGGGGATAAGGAGGGATGCCTGAGGAGGAGGGAGGGATGGACAGAGGGGGGACATTCTGTGTGTGTGTGTCGGAGATGAAGTGATGATGAGGCGGATGAGTGGAAGGAGGGATGATCAGGACAGTTTCAGCTTCAGCCACCTCAGGTCATCTGATCTGTGATGAAGAGAAGGGAAAGAGATTCATTGCCTTCAAAAAGTATTCACATCCCTTGACTTTTTCCACATTTTGTTGTGTTACAAGGTGAGATTAAAATTGATTTAATTGTAATTTTTTTCTGAACAATCTATACAAAATACTCTGTAATGTCAAAGTGGAAGAAAAATATTTGTAAAACATGAATGAAAAATAAAAAATTATCTTAATTAGAAACCCCCTGAGTCAATACATGTTAGAATCACCTTTGCCAGCGATTACAGCTGTGTGTCTTTCTGGGTAAGTCTCTAAAAGTGTTGCACACCTGGATTGTACAATATTTGCACATTTATTATTAAAAAATTATTCAAGCTCTGTCAAGTTTGTTGTTGATCATTGTTAGACTGCCATTTTCAAGTCTTGCCATAGATTTTCTAGCTGATTTCAGTCAAAACTCTAACTAGGCCACTCAGGAACATTCAATGTCATCTTGGTAAGCAACTACAGTGTATATTTAGGTTATTGTCCTCCTTTTTACATTTACGTCATTTAGCAGACGGTAAGTGGGGGTAGAAGGATTACTTTATCCTATCCCAGGTACAGTGGGGAAAAAAAGTATTTAGTCAGCCACCAATTGTGCAAGTTCACCCACTTAAAAAGATGAGAGAGGCCTGTAATTTTCATCATAGGTACACGTAAACTATGACAGACAAATTGAGAAAAAAAATCCAGAAAATCACATTGTAGGATTTTTTATGAATTTATTTGCAAATTATGGTGGAAAATAAGTATTTGGTCACCTACAAACAAGCAAGATTTCTGGCTCTCACAGACCTGTAACTTCTTCTTTAAGAGGCTCCTCTGTCCTCCACTCGTTACCTGTATTAATGGCACCTGTTTGAACTTGTTATCAGTATAAAAGACACCTGTCCACAACCTCAAACAGTCACACTCCAAACTCCACTATGGCCAAGACCAAAGAGCTGTCAAAGGACACCAGAAACAAAATTGTAGACCTGCACCAGGCTGGGAAGACTGAATCTGCAATAGGTAAGCAGCTTGGTTTGAAGAAATCAACTGTGGGAACAATTATTAGGAAATGGAAGACATACAAGACCACTGATAATCTCCCTCGATCTGGGACTCCATGCAAGATCTCTCCCAACCACACGTGAATGACCTGCAGAGAGCTGGGACCAAAGTAACAAAGCCTACCATCAGAAACACACTACGCCGCCAGGGACTCAAATCCTGCAGTGCCAGACGTGTCCCCCTGCTTAAGCCAGTACATGTCCAGGCCCGTCTGAAGTTTGCTAGAGTGCATTTGGATGATCCAGAAGAGGATTGGGAGAATGTCATATGGTCAGATGAAACCAAAATAGAACTTTTTGGTAAAAACTCAACTCGTCGTGTTTGGAGGACAAAGAATGCTGAGTTGCATCCAAAGAACACCATACCTACTGTGAAGCATGGGGGTGGAAACATCATGCTTTGGGGCTGTTTTTCTGCAAAGGGACCAGGACGACTGATCCGTGTAAAGGGAAGAATGAATGGGGCCATGTATCGTGAGATTTTGAGTGAAAACCTCCTTCCATCAGCAAGGGCATTGAAGATGAAACGTGGCTGGGTCTTTCAGCATGACAATAATCCCAAACACACCGCCCGGGCAACAAAGGAGTGGCTTCGTATGAAGCATTTCAAGGTCCTGGAGTGGCCTGGCCAGTCTCCAGATCTCAACCCCATAGAAAATCTTTGGAGGGAGTTGAAAGTCCGTGTTGCCCAGCAACAGCCCCAAAACATCACTGCTCTAGAGGAGATCTGCATGGAGGAATGGGCCAAAATACCAGCAACAGTGTGTGAAAACCTTGTGAAGACTTACAGAAAACGTTTGACCTGTGTCATTGCCAACAAAGGGTATATAACAAAGTATTGAGAAACTTTTGTTTTTGACCAAATACTTATTTTCCACCATAATTTGCAAATAAATTCATAAAAAATCCTACAATGTGATTTTCTGGATTTTTTTCCTTATTTTGTCTGTCATAGTTGACGTGTACCTATGATGAAAATTACAGGCCTCTCTCATCTTTTTAAGTGGGAGAACTTGCACAATTGGTGGCTGACTAAATACTTTTTTTCCCCACTGTAAAAAAAATCCCTAGTCCTTGTCGATGACAAGCTTACCTATAACATGATGCAGCCACCACGATGCTTGAAAATATGGAGAGTGGTACTCAGTGATTATTCGGGTTGTGTTGGATTTGCCCCAAACATAACACTTTCAGGACATAAAGTTCATTTCTTTGGCACATTTGTGGCAGTCTTACTTTTGTGCCTTATTGCAAACAGGATGCATGTTTTGGGATATTTTTATTCTGTGCAGGCTTCTTTATTTTCACTCTGTCAGTTAGTTGGAGAAGATAAAATAATGACTTTACAGTGAGAGAGAGATGTGCGTAGCCACGTACTCAGCCTCTTTCTTAGTGATGACGTTTCCTGCAGCGAACCTCTCGGCCACAGCAGAAACAGCTGGGTCATAGTTCAGACTGGCTGCTGCTATTACCTCATCATCCCTGTGGGGAGACAAATGGTTAATACACAGTAGTATTCACACATACATGCACCCATGCACCAGATTTTCTGTTAGGAAAATTTCACGCCAGACAAGTGACCAGGGGAAGATTTTCATTTATCGGACATTTGAGAAATTTACTTGTCATCCATATGCATTGGGTGCGTAACACATTAGGCCGTCCACCCACGCAGCCAGTGCCATCAATATATTGTCAAAATGAGCAACATTTATGTGTCCTTACAGACCATATAACTTATTACAAAAACACCATTCCTTGTGTTTTGATGTGTAGCATACAGTGCCTTCGGAAAGTATTCAGACCCCTTGACTTTTTCCACATTTTGTTACGTTACAGCCTTATTCTAAAATGGATTAAATACATACAAAATCTCAGCAATCTACACACAATACCCCATAATGACAAAGCGAAAACAGGTTTTTAGAAAACAGAAATACCTTATTTACATAAGTATTCAGACCCTTTGCTATGAGACTCAAAATTTAGCTCAGGTGCATACTGTTTCCATTGATCATCCTTGAGATGTTTCTACAACTTGATTGGAGTCCACCTGTGGTAAATTCAATTGATTGGACATGATTTGGAAAGGCACACACCTGTCTATATAAGGTCCCACAGTTGACAGTGCATGTCAAAACAAAAACCAAGCCATGAGGTCGAAGGAATTGTCCGTAGAGCTCCGAGACAGGATTGTGGGGAAGGGTACCAAAACATTTCTGCAGCATTGAAGGTCCCCAAGAACACAGTGGCCTCCATCATTCTTAAATGGAAGAAGTTTGGAACCACCAAGACTCTTCCTAGAGCTGGCCGCCCGGCCAAACTGAGCAATCGGGGTTAGAACGGCCTTGGTCAGGGAGGTGATCAAGAACCAGATGGCCACTCTGACAGAACTCTATAGAGTTCCTCTGTGGAGATGGGAGAACCTTCCAGAAGGACAACCATCTCTGCAGCACTCCACCAATCAGGCCTTTATGGTAGAGTGGCCAGACAGAAGGCACCTCTCAGTAAAAGGCACATGACAGCCCACTTGGAGTTTGCCAAAAGGCACCTAAAGACTCTCAGACCATGAACAACAAGATTCTCTGGTCTGATGAAACCAAGATTGAACTCTTTGGCCTGAATGCCAAGTGTCACGTCTGGAGGAAACCTGGCACCATCCCTACGGTGAAGCATGGTGGTGACAGCATCATGCTGTGGGGATGTTTTTCAGCGGCAGGGACTGGGAGACTAGTCAGGATTGAGGCAAAGATGAACAGAGCAAAGTACAGAGAGATCCTTGATGAAAACCTGCTCCAGAGCGCTCAGGACCTCAGACTGGGCCGAAGGTTTACCTTCCAACAGGACAATGACCCTAAGCACACAGCCAAGAAAACGCAGGAGTGCCTTCGGGACAAGTCTCTGAATATCCTTGAGTGGCCCAGCCAGAGCCCGGATTTGAACCCGATTGCACATTTCTGGAGAGACCTGAAAATAGCTGTGCAGTGACACTCCCCATCCAACCTGACAGAGCTTGAGAGGATCTGCAGAGAAGAATGGGAGAAACTCCCCAAATACAGGTGTGCCAAGCTTGTAGCGTCATTCCCAAGAAGATTCGATGCTGTAATCGCTGCCAAAGTTGCTTCAACAAAGTACTGAGTAAAGGGTCTGAATATTTATGTAAATGTGATATTTCTGGGAAAAAAGTATAAAAGTGCACAAATAAAACAACAACCTGTTTTTGGTTTGTCACTATTGGGTATTGTGTGTAGATTGATGAGGGGGAAAAAAACAAATTTAATCAATTTTAGAATAAGGCTGTAATGTAACAAAATGTGGAAAAAGTAAAGGGGTCTGAATAATTTCCGAAGGCAATGAATGCTAAACTTTATAGCCTATTGTTTTATTGGTTTTTACTTTCGTAAAACAATAATTTACTGCGTCTGCGATACAGATATAGGTGTACAGAAGGAGGCTAATTTGGAAATTTTCAATCAGAATATTATTTATAAAGATAAGCATTATATTGTTAGATTATATGAGTAACTCTGGTAGGCCTAAAACATCCTTCCTCACCTCAAGTTCAACTGACGGAGCTAGTTGCAGCGCCGGCGCGCACTGCCTTCATATCATAGGCCTACACACCAAAACTTCGCAAAAGTTTCTAAACTTTATTAGGGTAATATCAAAAGTAAGTCAAGTCATTGTTTATAGGAAAAATACGAGCAGGATATTATATTGCGGCAAACACAAACATTACAGTTGGAACTTAATTTGGCCAAAGAAAATTGCTCAACCGAATGAAACAAAACACTTGCGAACTGGTTTAAACCTTCACAAAAGTTTTGAACAGGCTATTTTGCAGCAATTACCAAGAAACGCTTGTGCCTACCATACCCAACAAATGACAGCAATAGGCTAATTACATGTATTTTACAACAGGCCTACTTATAACCTATCTTTAAACTTAATACGGAGCACAATTAAAAAGACAGATCTAACTTAATTTAATTCAGATTGAAACAAAATATGTTTTGCATTTTTTAATAACTGGTAAAATGGTTGCTATTGAGCTCAATATTTAGAGTTGAGAAATAAACAGCATACCTACAAAAAGCTGAGAACATCCTCTTTCCATCTGTTACAACAGATTAGCTGTGTTTTCCCCGCAATTGGATTTTAACAAAATTATACAATCAGAACACTTTTCTTTCCCCTGGGAAAGGAGAGAGAGAGAGTGGCTCGCTCGACACAGCAGCAGCCCCAGTGAAACAGGTACAGGGGCAGGCAGGCAGACACTTTCATTACAGGAATCATGAGGATAATGTACTTTACTGTTTAAGCCTCCTAAAAAATAGGACGTTTTGAGTGATGTGAATGAATGTGCAGCTCGCACTGATGCAACACATATTTTTTTTTGCTACCACACCCAAGTCAAAGGGTCGCAGTCTGGAGCCCTGCCTTGTAGGTTTTTCTCTCTAACTGTTGTTCTACTTCAATGAAAACAGCCTCCGTCTTCGCAATCAACAGTAGCATAGGCCAAAGCTACTCTCTCACTCTCTCTCCTCAGCAGCAGGTCAGCCCCGGACAATTTAGCAGGCTACAATTATATTTATCGGCTTTTCAATTATTTTATTGGCCAAAAGCAGCCAATTACCGGTTAATGGAAACCCTGCCATGCATTCATGCACACACACACACATGCTGTGTTAAAGTATACACACACATACAAACACACACAGCCACACACACATACAGTGCCAGTCAAACGTTTGGATACACCTACTCATTCAAGGGTTTTTCTTTATTTTTTTACTATTTTCTACATTGTAAAATAATAGTGAAGGCATGAAAACTATGAAATAACACATATGGAATCATGTAGTAAACAAAAAAGTGTACAATTTTATAATTTGAGATTCTTCAAAGTAGCCACCCTTTGCCTTGATGACCTACATGATTCCATATGTGTTATTTCATAGTTTTCATGCCTTCACTATTATTCTACAATGTAGAAAATAGTAAAAATAAAGAAAAACCCTTGAATGGGTAGGTGTGTCCAAACTTTTGACTGGTATTGTACACGCATACAGACATCACATACTCACATTCTCACACACACGTCCATTTGAACGATGCCGTTTTTTGTTGACTCACTTGATATAAAAGGCCAGGAACTTTTGTTCCTCCACTTTCCCTTTTACTACGATGTCAGTGTATCCTTCCCCATAGCCTGCAAAGGACACATACACACAAATGATCAGTGTGTGTTCAGGTGTGTTAAGGTGTGTGTAGTAGATAGGCCTACCTGTGTATCTGATGTTCTTCCCCAGTAGGACGGTCCAGTAGTAAGGGACAGAGTTGAGTTCAGTGGGTATATTCAGCATGTTCAGGGCTGCTACTCTCCCTACAACAACACCACACAGACAGCAACAACATCAAAATCAATAGCAATGATATAAGTAAAAGCCCAGTAAAAACCCACATTAGGAAAACCCTAGAGACCTTTGCACAAACAAGGTTTGCTTTCTAGATATTTCTATCTGAAAGATTATTGACGCCATATTTTCTTTAACAGCAAAGGTAAAAGCCTGATGCATATGCGTTTAAATTGGCCTGGGTGAGTTACCGTGTGCCTGTGCCATCTGCCAGTGTCCTATATTGACCCTCTGGTCTTTGGCCATGGTCAGGGGAAAGGTAGCCAGGTCTCCTCCACAGAACACTTCAAGAACATTGGTCCTCATGCACTGCAGGAGAGAAGAGGAACCAAGTGGTGTAGTGGAGGGTAAGCACATGTAAACGCCGCTTTTTTATTTTGCGCAGGCAGTTACCCACCTTTTGCAGAACAATGCATTCAAACCACGAATGGCAGTGTTGAGGAGTAGTGAACTACATGTAGTTCAACTAGTAATTTAATTACCGTATTTTCCGCACTATAAGGCGCACCGGAGTATAAGCCGCATCAGCTAAATTGAATGATATTGAATGTTGTGTACATATATAAGCCGCACTGGACTATAAGCCGCAGGTGTTTTAATGTTTAATTACCATATGTAAGGGTTCGTGCACAGAGGGGATTGTCGGGAAAGAGACAAACTGTCTCGCTCTCGTAATGTCTGTCTGTCTTGCTCTCGTTCTGTCTCTCGTTCTCTCTCTCGTACCACTCTCGGTTCCACTTTTACTTTTGCGCGCTACCTGTCTCACTCTTTTCCGGCCTCCAGCTTTTCCTGCTGGAGCCCGCCGCTTAAAGGTGGAGGGCGCGGACCGGTCATAGAGCCCATAGAGTTAAAGTTGGTGGACTGTAACCTGTAAAATCCATAGATTTAGGAGGTCTTCTAGTGGCCGTTAGCTGTAAAAATCCATAGATTAACCGCACCGTTATATAAGCCGCAGGGTCAAAAAATGGGAAAAAAGGCGCGGCTTATAGTCCGAAAATTACGGTACATTTTATAGTAGCTTAGTGGTAGTTGAACTAAATTAAAATCTCAGTAGTTAATAACTTTTTGGCATGTAGTGGTGTAGCTAACTACTGGAACTACACTCTTTTTTTGTGCAAAAATAAGATATGGGTGAAGTATGCAAGAATTTCCTTTCTTTTTCAGCATCAGATCTGCCTTATTCTCATTTAAAACACTTTTTGTGTGCCTAATTCTCACCTTTTGTGTTTCATAGGCTAAAGTACACATTCTGTTAACATCTGATTCCAAAGTGATCTGTTCTTGCAATTTGTAGTCTATGACATATTAGATAGATATGATAATTTTTCACGAAGTAGTTTGGATGTAATGAACTACTTTTTCAAACTAACTTTAGTTAAGTAAACTATCTTTTTCTTGAAGGTAGCTTTAGTGTAGCTTGAATTCTTCCAGTGTGAAGTAATTGGAACTTTAGTAAACTATATTTTCAGACTAGCTTCCCCAACACTGGTGAAAGGTGATAAGCGTTTTTCTCCACTACATCACTGATAGTTACTCTATAAATAAACTCTGGGGAAGAATCTCAATTGCATACTCCTCACGTCCTCTCTCCACGCCTCCTTCTCAAAACACATTGGATGAGAAAGTCAGAGGTCCCGGACTATCAGACCAGCGGTGAAAAAAACAGATTGCTGCAACCTGATTGGCTGAACACGCTATGCAACATTCGGGACTAGCATTAGCCTCTAGAATGGTGGTGGAAAATGGTGTTTCATAAAGAAAGTATGCATATTTTCCCTCGCCATTAAATTTAGTCAAGGAGGAAACCGACGCCTTTGCAGCCTGAATGGAGAATGTTTTTGTACGAACCGGTCCACGGTGGATACGAGTGTATAGCCGGCTGTATACCTTCCCTTTGGACGGTAAAATGAAATGACTCAATATCGCTATCAGCCAGGCCTTTGGGCTAACATAGAGCCTACATTCCCTCAAAAGAGTTAAGCTTTATTTATTCCTAACCTCCCACAAATAAAGCTACGACAAAGGCCACAAATTAGATGTCAACATTCTTACTAACAAACAAAGCAACCCTTGGTTTGATTCAGTAGGACAACAACATGATGTATCAAGCCATCCAATTGGAGCTCACCTTGTCCACGATGACTGAGCTCTTAGAGTCCATCGCTATGGGAGTACCCTGCAGGAACTCTGAGTTAGGGATCACACCTGGAGGGAGAGAGATACAGGAAAGAGAGAGAGATAAAGGAGATGGAAAGAGGAAAGTATGAGATGTACAAAGAAAAGAGAGAAAGCTGTCTTTATATTTCAGATTTGTCATAAAGTAGTAGGTCTTTATGAGGTTGTGTAGTATAGTGAATTTAAAGTGTAAAAATTGTCCTGTGTTGGACATACCGATACCAACGATTAAAACATCAGCAGGAATGACTGTCCCACTCTTCAGCACAACCTCTTTTACCTGCACAGAGACAAACACATTCTCATTCAATAACCCAACACAGCTATACAACTATAATGGGATACTGTTCATGTTGCCAGGACACAGACACAGGGAGGTCTTTCTACAGTACCTTGCCGTTCTCTCCGCGGACCTCTGTCACATTGTCATTCATATAGAACGCCACATCCTTCTCTGCAAGCATCTGTCAACACAACACAAGGAGGGGAGGGAATGAGAGGGCAGAGGGGTGATCAGGCAGAAAGGAAGATGACTTCTAAGCACAGTTTTAAACACAGCTTAGTTATACATTGGACGCTTAAATAAAAGGCGGGTTCGGAGCGCCCTCTCCTGTCTCTCACCATCATAGTGACCTTGCCGATCTCAGGGCCCAGGGTCTTCTGGTAGGGCAGCTCACTGCTGCCAATCACTGTGACGCTGGAGGCCTTGTCTGTCATATAGGATGCCACTTCCATGCCTAAACACAACACACAGCCAGGGAAATACACAGATCAGGGCTATTCCTAGTGTAGTGCACTACTTTTGGCCAGAGCCACACAAAGATAGAGGGCTCTGGACAAAAGTAGTGCACTATAGATGAGGCATAAAGTGTCAGTTTGAGACAGAATGAGACAGTGTACCAACGAAGGATGTCCCCACGATGACGATATGACAGCCCATACAGGCAACATGGATCTGCCTGGCATCCTCTGGTGTCTCCAGCATCTTTACATTCTCCAGGTCTTTACCTGGACACTCCAGACCCTTCGCTCTACACAACATAATTAGAATGGAGCAGAACACAGATTTAGAATAAGTAGAGTAATAAGTAGAGTTCCTAGTCCCATTCTCTAACTACTGCTGTGTTCTGGGGTGGGTGGACTACTGGCCATATTGGGGTTACTGTTCTCTGCGTGCATTTTTTAAACATTTTTACATTTTTAGTCATTTAGCAGACGCTCTTATCCAGAGCGACTTACAGGAGCAATTAGGGTTAAGTGCCTTGCTCAAGGGCACATCGAACAGATTTTTCACCTAGTCGGCTCGGGGATTAGAACCAGCGACCTTTCGGTTACTGGCACAACGCTCTTACCCACTAAGCTACCTGCCGTGCATGCGTGTTAGTGTGCGTGTTTGTGTGTACACACCTGCAGCCTGTGGATATGAGGAGCTGGTCGTATCTCTGGACTGAACCGTCATCAAATGTTACTTTCTTCTTCTTGGTGTCCAACGACATGGCCTGCCATGACAATAACACAGAGCTTGAGAAGGCTTCTGAGAGCTTGCAAACAACCAAGCATTGGCCAGAAATATAGTGCACTCATATGCTGTAAATACAGGCAGATATACTACAGATCAGTGAGCGCAAAAGAGAAGCGAGATGCGTTATCTAAATTAACCCTTTGAGGTCAACAGTAGAATTCCAATAGAATCTTGAGAATAATTTGTCTAAGAAACTCATCCTTCCTTAATGAACCCAACAGCAAGTAAAGGCCAGGAGAATGAGGACTATGTAACAGTTGGATAAATCAAGTTGTATTGTATCCACCTCTTTGAGGAGCCACACCTCGATGTCGTATTTATGGAAGAACTCCATCCTCCTCAGCAAAATGCTGTCACTCTCCACATTCATCACCTGAGGAGGGTGGGTTAGCACAATGATGTGTTATTCATAACATACTCGAACACAACTAGGTGACGGTTAGAGAGAATAAAAACTTTACTTTTTCTTTTACTCCAGAATGAGTTTCCCATCTATTCTACTTATTATAGATCCTCACCTGACCTGACCCCTGACCCCATGACATTTGCCCCTACCAGAATAGAAGCTGGCCTTTGACACTGATCTAAGGTTGGTTTTCCATTTTCTCAGCTAATGAATAAGGTTAGGATTTGGGGAGGGTAAGCGCTAGGGTTATGGAATTCTGGTTGCGCTCCCAAAATTGTCAGGTTATTCCGAAATTCTGGTCGGTTGATGCCCGGAATCAGGAGGGAATGAGTAGGAAATCTGGAATCCTACAAACAGGATTTCTGGAAAAACCTGGGAATTTTGCAAAACTTACAGAATTTGGAAACCCTAGTAAGCTGATACTAGATGTGCCTAAGGGTAATTTACCTTGCTGAGTCGTGTTTTGTCATAGGGCAGAAGGTTGTCCCTGGATACCATGATGATTCTGCCTCCAAAGTTCTCCTGTCTCAGAGTCTCTGCACACACTAACGACGCAGACCCTGCACTTACAGAGAGAGAGCCCTCCATCACACACGCTCACGCGCACAACCACAACACGCATGTGCACACACACACACAAACACACACACACACACACACTGAGCCCCAGAATTCCGTCCTCACCTCCCCCGAGCAGTAGGATGGTGTGGATGACTCCTTCTACTCTGGAGCACATACTCTTTATTCGTTTGGTCTGTCTCGCTGCCTACACACATACACCACATGACATAGAGTGACATAAAGGGTCATAAAGACTTCATAACTGCTTTATAATCCATCTATAACTAACTCAAATAGTTGTTCTGGTCTTACTGTTTCTGTATAACATGGTAAAGGCAACAGTGGCAGTAAATCGAAACCATAATGAGAGCTTCAGCTTGTTAGTAAATGCAGCATGTTGTAATATTCTGGCATTTAATAAAATCAACGTGATTTTGAAAAGTGATGCTTACCTTTTTGTTTACGGACACATACACTTTGTTGTTTTCGACTTTCACCTGGAAAATATATCAAACAAAGTCAATCAAAGCCTGTCTTCCTGCCTGCCTGTCTGTCTTTCTGTCTTCCTGCCTGTCTTTCTGTCTGTTAGACCCACCTTGTAGCAGACAGTCCATGCCAGGGTATTCCTCCAGGTTTCTGTTTCTATATTACTCCCTCCCCTTCTCCTCCCTCCCCCTTCCTCCCACCCTCTCCCTCCCTACCGTGTGACAGGGTAGACAGTCCATGCCAGGGAATTCCTCCAGGTCTCCTGTCTGGATGTTGAAGCAGGCACCGTGCCACGGGCAGCGCACCCTGTGTCCCGATAGAACCCCTACACACACACACACAAACACACACACACAAATGCGCACACACACACAAATACACTATTATGACAGCCAATACATTGTGTAACATGACTAGGAGGACACACACACACACGGACAAACCACAAGAAAGAAACTCCCTCTCTCTATCTAACACACACGGACATACACACAAACACACACACTGACTGTACTTCCTCACCTTTGCTCAAGGGAGCTCCGTAGTGTGTACACTGGTTGCCGATGGCGCTGTATATGCCTTCACTCCGTACCAACAGAACATTGTGACGTCCCACCTCCACCTCCATCATCCTACACACACACACACACACACACACACACACACACACACACACACAAACGAATGTGTGTACAACATGTATACTGATCTGTCTCTCTGTACTTTCTGACCCATCTCCATCTCTCTTTCTTACTGACTAGGGTGTGATGAAATTGGGATCCTTAACGTTAAGAAAAATCCCAAAAAATTTGAATCACTGTGCAGTTATCACAAAACATATTATTTTCCATGTTATAGCCTAACTAGGTGATAGGCTATAAAGGCCTGGGGAAAGTTGCATAAAGGTAGATTCATCGATATGACGTAGATGCAGAAAGTAAACAGCATAGTGGGTCAATTTCCGCAACAACTAAGAGTGCTTAAGCACGATGCTCAACTTCTCCGCTGTTTTGGTGCTCTGGCTACCACGCTGTGAACAGCATGAAGCAAACCCATGCACAACGTGTTTTTTTGTTTGTTGTCATTTTAGCAGACGCTCTTTTTCCAGAGCGACTTACAGGAGCAATTAGAGTTAAGTGCCTTGCTCAAGGGCACATCGACAGCTTTCACCTAGTCAGGTCGGGGATTCGAACCAGCAACCTTTCTGTTACTGGCCCAACTGCTTAACCGCTAGGCTACCACCCAGTGTTGCATCGCAATCATCTTTGTATCCTGGCCTATTCATTGATGATAGGCCCTGCTTTACTGAAGTTGCGAGATATTGCAGACATTTTGAGGTACAGCATTCCATTGTGAGATACAGCTTTTGATTGCCGATAAATAGGCATGGTTCACAGTTCTGACTCTGTCTGCCTGGTGGCCCACCTGCCTCTCCCCTCTCTCTCCGTCCCTCGCTACCTCGCCATGAAAGATGCGTGTGTTTGTGTTCTTAGAAGTACGGCAACTAATCAGTCTCCTCTGTTCTAAAAATACAGAATCTTAGGAGTTCCATGTTATAGCCTAACTAGGTGATAGGCTATAAAGGCCTGGGGAAAGTTGCATAAAGGTAGATTCATCGATATGACGTAGATGCAGAAAGTTAACAGCATAGTGGGTCAATTTCCGCAACAACTAAGAGTGCTTAAGCACGATGCTCAACTTGCCAAAACAGCGGAGAAGTTGAGCATCGTGCTTAAGCACTCTTAGTTGTTGCGGAAATTGACCCACTATGCTGTTTACTTTCTGCATCTACGTCATATCGATGAATCTACCTTTATGCAACTTTCCCCAGGCCTTTATAGCCTATCACCTAGTTAGGCTATAACATGGAAAATAATATGTTTTGTGATAACTGCACAATCTTGACACTCAGAAATGGGAGTCAACACCTGGAGCACACGTGCAAGGAGTCGAGGAATCAATTATTTTGTAGTCGACTCTCCACCACTACGTCATCATCGTTAACAATTGGAAAAATTGCAGAAAAAGGCAAGCGATAGCGGCGAAGTCCTGTATGGCTATGGCAATACTTTGAGAAGTTAAATAAGAAAGGAAATCCAAACGTTGCGAAGTGGAATTAAAGTACAGTAATGGTAGTACAGGTGCAATGCTTATCTAAAGAGGCGCACCGTGAGACCCAAACCATTGCTGGCAGCAGCACAGCTCCATTAGGAATTCATGTTGAAATGTATGAATTTTTCGTATCGTTTTAACAGAAAGAATTACCGTTTTTTTTTTGCCACATCCCTATTACTGACCATCCAGTAATTCTGATTCCAGACACACCTTCTCAGTCTTTTATATCTCTCTCTCACTCCCCATCCCTCTCTTCCTCCACCCCTCTCCCCTCTTTTTCTTACTGTCCGTCCTTTAGTTCTGACTCCAGACACACCACCTCTGTCAGCTCTTCAGAAGCATCGTCTGGGTCGACGTCCAGCAACTCGCTACAATCTGTGATGACACCCCCCCACCCCCCACCCCCCCAAACACACAAACATGCACACACACACACACACACACAGACACAGGAGTGTTAGAAGTTGTTGACCCATTCCCTGTGTGTGTGTGAAGGTGAAGGGTGGCTCACATAAGAGGACAAAAGACATCTGGGCTTATTGTCAACTCTGTCCTCTCCATAAATTGCTGATGAAAGTAAGATAACCAAATATTCAAGAAGAAAATGTATCAGGTGTGCTTTTACAAATAGCTTATTTTCTATAAAAAAGTGGTCCATTTATTTAAAAATGTACCCAAAGATGTTATAGGTGTATGTGTAAATGTGTCATTATCTCATAGTTTCTAAAACACATAAAGATTGTGTATAACAGAACGAGACTACAGTTTACAGTAGAACAGAATGGAAAATCCACCTGCCTGCAACATCACAGGAGAATTATGCAACGCACGAGAGCCTTTACAATCTACTGGGTGATTTGACAGGTGAGTATCGAGCACACTTTTACGCACCAGTCTAGCCTACTCATTCAACCATTACCAAATCCTTTTTTTCACACAGCAAACTCACGTGGCCTTCCAGACATCCCGCTGATTCTACAGTAATAACCGACGTAACTCAATAGTCCTCAACGAACATGTGATAAGAATTCAAGTATGTTTTATAAAAGTATCACTTCACTGTCCGCGGGCAGTCTTTGCATCAGCTGAAAGCACCTATCGCGATGGGACAATAGTCCGTTTCCTCGGCAACCAAACCTGGTCCAACCGTAATCCCTCCGCCCCTCGATGATTTGACAGGTTGGTAAAAGTGGAGGAAAAGTTGAGGAGCACTGAAAATATTACACAAAAAATAAATGGTATCTTTTCAATCTAAAGTGAATAACTGTATAGAGTTTTGTCGTTAGACGTTATTGTTGAAGAGAACAGCAAGCCTTTCTGTGTGACACAAAAGCAGCATAGAGAAAGGCTGACGAGACACTAACGTTCACAATGAATGAGTGAGAATGCACAACTTGCGTAAACCTTTGGGTTGCTCATTCATTCAACGCATCTTTACAAAATCGTTGTTTTATCATCATGTTGGTTGCAGCCAATTGCCATACTGCAAATATTTTTTCGTTGTGAAAATTTGTTTCAATGCCAATTAGAAATGGAAAATAGTTTGTTTTCAATAGAATTGGCTGGAGTGAGAGGGGACCACATAAGCTCATGTAACCCAATATTGCAAGCTCTGATATTGCAAAAATGTGAACTACAAATAGTAAATTGTCTGCGCTACATGCATTTTAAAAAAAGCATCAGAATATCTTAAAGCATTTTGGAAATATAAACCTGTAAACACATAGATACAATAGGCAGAAATATCAACTTTGAATATTTATGATGAAGTTAACTCTTTGGTAGCTGTTCAATAGACACGTTTACAAGTAAAATGTGCTCTAATTCAGTGCTGTACGGCCTGCCTGACAAAAATGCATATAGTTAACGTTATATAATGTTGTGGCTACTGGAATCAGCTCTAAGGCAAGTGATCTCAGACTCTGAAAACTGTCATGTTTTCCAGTCAAAGGTTCCTCTGTGGATGTTATATGTTCAGCCCCCATGCTTGCAATTACGTTAGGGGCCAGTCCTAGACTTGACTCCAAATCCAATTTGGTGTCCAAAATCCAATATCGCTTCCACAATACCATTAAATGGTGGTTTAATCACCTGTATAAGTACAAGTTTTAAATGAGATACTTTTTTCAGATTTGTGTACTGCACTTATGACCTGTACTCAACACTATTTTTGTGTACTTCAACTATGTTAGGAATCCAATATGCCCATCATATACACTCAAATACCTTTGTCTGGATATATAAAAAGGCAGCAGACTGCTTGGTATGGCAACACCAAGCATTCCAAGTCACAAGCCTCTTTGAGGATCAATGAGGCAACTGGGATGCTCCAATGAAAGAAAAGAGAATCATGGACTCTGACACCATCTCCAACTTGCCCCCACTGTGGTATAACTTGCGCCTCCAGGATTGGGCTCTTAAGGTGGTATAACTTGCGCCTCCAGGATTGGGCTCTTAAGTCACCTAATATCATTTAGAAGTGAGCTTTGATTCATTGCTAGTCCAATACATCTGCCTGAATCCAACATGACCTTCTGCTGGCTCACTATATTTGTGATGCACATTGGGATGTTCCGGTGCATTTTTGTCCTGTTTGGGTTGAGCTGGCACATTGCTTCTTCTGGACAATACATCCACCATCCTGGCTCTCTGCCATGGAGTTGCCTAATACACTATATATACAAAGGTATGGGGACACACCTTCAGATTAGTGGATTCGGCTATTTCAGCCACACCCGTTGCTGATAGGTGTGTAAAATCGACCACACAGCCATGCAATCTCCATAGACAAACATTTGCAGTACTGAAGAGGTCAGTGACTTTTAACGTGGCACCATCATAGGATGCCACCTTTCCAACAAGTCAGTTCATCAAATTTCTGCCTTGCTAGAGCTACCCCGGTCAACTGTAAGTGCTGTTATTGTGAATTGGAAACGTCTAGTAGCGACAACAGCTCAGCCGTGAAGTGGTAGGCCACACAAGCTCACAGAACGGGACCACCAGGTGCTGAAGCGCGTAGCGCATAAAAATCGTCTGTCCTCAGTTGCAACACTCACTACCGAGTTCCAAACTGCCTCTGGAAGCAACGTCAGTACAAGAACTGTTCAGCACAAGAACTGAGCTTCATGAAATTGGTTTCCATGGCCGAGCAACCGCACACAAGCCTAATATCACCATGCGCAATGCCAAGCGTCGGCTGGTGTGGTGTAAAGCTCGCCGCCATTGGACGCTGGAGCAGTGTAAACGCATTCTCTGGAGTGATGAATCACGCTTCACCATCTGGCAGTCCGACGGACGAATCTGGGTTTGGCGGATGCCAGGAGAACGCTATCTGCCCGAATGCATAGTGCCAACTGTAGCTTGGTGGAGGGGGAATAATGGTCTGGGGCTGTTTTTCATGGTTCGGGCTAGGCCCCTTAGTTACAGTGAAGGGAAATCTTAATGCTATAGCATACAATGACATTCTAGATGATACTGTGCTTCCAACTTTGTGGCAACAGTTTGGGGAAGGCC